CCCCAGCCCTCGACACACAAGATCCAAAATGCCTCTCCGCGCAGAACGGCCCATAGTGCGCGTCGAGCACAGCTCCATGCGCACCATCGAAACCCGCAGCACCGAGAACCTGTTCGGCCTCTGGTCTGGTGAGTGATATGCACGAGCATGTGCAGTGCACATGCAGCGGCATGTGAATGGCCACTAACTCGGCCTGACAGTCTTTGCACGATGCTCGCCCGCCATGGAAGACGGCAAACGCTACGAGAACATGGCCTGGCGGCTGTGGTCCCGTGAGACCTTCTGCTGCCAGCCCGACCCTGTGGCTGCTCCCCAGTGGGCCTTCCAGCGACAATTGTCCGCTAGTGCTACGGACATGCCCGAGCTGTCTACCAGCGTCGCCTCCGACGACTCCAACCTGGAGAGCGCCATCACCACGACTTCCCGAAGTGATCTCTCGGCCGACCGCCCCGACCTGCGCCGCCACGACTCCGCTACCAGCCAGGCCCGCGGCAAGCACATGACCCCCATTGGCCTCGAGAAGGTCGTCAACTCGATACAAGAGAAGAAGTTCATCGAGCCGCTGTCGCCCCTACCAGCCCAGCTCGCCCCACCTGTAGCCGAGCAGAAGCCCGTTCAGGACAACACCACGCCACCATCCACCGCCCGCCCCATCCCCGAAGCCTCCACTTCCACCGTAGCCACCTCGGTCAGCTGCGACATCATGAGCCCTGCAGTCGGCTCCGAAGCCAGCACATCCACCGACGTGAGCGAGCACAGCGTCGTCCGCGGCTTCGAGCCCGGCCACATCTCCACCTCAGTGCGATCCAGCACCAACCTGAACCCTACCCCCATCCTCAAGAAGACCTCCAGCTTCGTTACCAAGCCGCTTCCCGCAAAGGCCGACGCCAGCAAGAAGAGGCAGCCCATGTTCACTCTCGGCGGATCCTCCGAGGAGGAGAACGGCAGCTCCTTCGAGGCTTACTCGCTCCAACGCAGCTCTCTCTCACAGCAGCTGCGCAACGCTGCTCCCATGCGCAAGACTACCTCCTTCAAGAACGAGGTCAGCACGCGCACTTTCCACGACGTCTCCGAGAGCAGTGAGGCGGCCATTGAGAGCGACAGCGAAGACGACGATGTCGACGAGAGCGCCATTGAAGAGGAAGACTCCGATGAGGAGTGGGAAGACGACGACAACGAGGAGAGCGGTCCCCCCAGCGTTGCTGAGCACCGTCCTCAGTTCCCGCGTGTTGACTCGCAGGCCAACCTCACCTCCCGCCGCTCGCTTCTCACTACTGCCCTCCACCAAGGTGACCGCGCATCAGCTCTGCAAAATGCTGCATCGCGATCATCACCTGCCATCCGAAGGTCACGCACCCATACACCAAACGGACCTTCCGCTGGCAGCTCACCTCACGAAGACAGTGGCTTGATGATGCGCGAGCAAGCCTCCCGCCCAAAGCCTATCATCATGACTACCTCAAACGTCCACCCACCTGCCATGTCCCCCAAGACTACGCGCAGGAACATGCTGACCAGTGAGCTCACTGGATCACTAAGGCAAAACCTGCTGTGGGAGAGGCAGCAAAAGAATGCCACCACTAACGCGGTAGCAAAGCGCCAACAGAGCGCAGTCAACCTTCCAGCCCTCCGTCGGGCCATGACCACCGGCGACGTCAAGGGTCTAAACACCAACGAGCAACAAGCTCAAATTAGATCCACCACTTTCCGGGACGACAACAAGCCCGACAGCTCATACAACCAATTCTTTGATGGCGGAGACGCCCAAGAATACCACCGCTCCGGTTGGTAGCACAACAACATCCTTTTTTTTACATTTGCACTTCTAGCGGCATCTATGGTTTGGCATTTGACCAACGGCGTTTTGTCTTTCTTCACTTTAGCGGCCATCCAGTCTCCAAATGCACTGGTCAGCCGATTCATGGGTTATGTTCCTCCCAAAATCTTCTGATACCACCAGGGCCATTGAGTAGGCCCGATGAGGCTACGAATTTCTTTCATGCAGTCATACCGGACAAAGGGTGCTTCTTGTTTTGAAGATGGGTTACGGCTCACGCCTACTTTGGTCTGTACTATCACCTGCACATGTACTTGTATCGGGCTCTTTGTCCGACCCATTATACCCCGGCATGGGAACGGCTCCGCGGAGCTGTTTGGACCATGGCATCACCTTTGCTTGGAAGATAGCAGGTGTTGGCCTAGATACCTTAATGATAAAAAGCGGATACTTCATCATCTGAGACTTCTACAAACTGCTTGTTGTGATTGTGCGCTAGGCCGAGGTAGTTTCAAGGCCTCATCGACTGACTCTAGCTGTCAGCTGTTCCGGGGTTCGAAGGTCCCAACAAGACGCATGTTCTTACCGCTCTTCTGAACCATCCCACCGAAGCTAGTTACAAAGGAGGCGCTTATGCACGCTTTGCTGTGGCCTTCATGCAGTGCCGGATCGCACCACCACCATAATAACATCTGCCGCGCCTACAGGGCACGTTGTCCGTGTCACGATGGCGATCAGCCTGCGACATGTTTATTGATGATACAGCGAAACCTGGATCTGCTCGTCGCTCGTCACAGCCCAAAGTCAAATTGACAATGTCGCGGCTATTCCCTGCGCCGCGTTCCTCTTCCCTCGGCCCGGCTTCCTGTCTACCGTCCTGAATGATGCGTGCCTGACATGTGCTGCTGTGCCGCTGCTCATCACAAGGAGATCACCAAGGGCATGCGGTACTCGAGGGAGCTCCCTCGTGAGAGACGACCCTTGCACAATATACTCCTGGATGTGGGCAACGTGCATCGTGGCGAGCACACCCAAAGTTCCGTCGTGCGTCGTGCGTCGTGGGATCTGCTGGCGAGACTCGACGGCTGCACTGCTGCAGACGCCGCTCAGCCTTATGACTCGAGCTGCGAACTCAACACCACACACACTCTACCACGCCATGCAGTCTCGACGCTCGATGTTTCAGCATTAGAGTCTACGACTCAAGAAGTGAAGCTTTACTTAGACACTGATAACACTGACGACCATGGGACGCCACTACGTCATGCTGGCGGATAGCTGAAGTTACAGCAGTTCCCCGCCCACCGTTCTGCTCAAGGCATCCTCGCCCCTCGCTGCTCATTTGCATCTGCATCAGCATCACTCAACCAGCAACCACCATGCAAGCCTCGCCAGTTGACTATGGGGCAGTGGTCTCGCCAATCGTCCTCCATTCGTCGCGCAGGAATCATTACACCGGATTGCGCGGGCTCAACCCAGCGCGGCCCCAGTCGCCTCTCGCATTGTTGACGCTCACTATTACCACCGTTTTTCAAATTCCTCTGATCATCCGGATGCTCTAAAAACAACATCATCCCTGGAACGGCGGAAGGCGACGCTCTATCAGGCACCCGCAGCGCTACCCCGCGACCAAGTCGGTCTGGAGGTCGATGCGTTGGCAAGTTAGCGCCTGCGAGTGGTCATCTGAAGCCAGCCTTGACGAGTTATCTTGGAGATGCTTCAGCCTCATGTACAAGGAACTCCGCCACGGCTATGGCTCCCTGGCAATATCTCGCTCGACTGGCTCAAACGTCTAGTAATGCGCTTACACCCCCTCGTCCTGTGACTGTGACTATCGCGTTCGTTGGGGGCTTCGGTTCAGTATCACTCCAAGCCTCCTTTCTCCGCAGTTTCATTTGCTGCTACCGTGGGGGTCCCCGTCACATGAACACCTATCGTCACACTTCGGTGACGTTCCTTCTCGCCAATGCTGCTGAGAGTGCAGATCTGATGTCTGCCTACGCGTCGAACGGATACCGGAATGCTTGTTTTGATATGGTGAAGCAGAGATAATCAATTGCCGCTGTGCAGGACGCCATACTTCGCAGATCAAGCCGACGAGACCGCCGTCAGAATGTCGTGCTTGAAGTCGTGGCCGCGGAAACCTATCCCATTGCCTGAATGCAGAGTCCCACACGCAGCGCCATTGCTCCGTCAATACTTCCCGCATTACACATACTTCTATCACCATACTCAGCTGGCGCATCCGATATGCGAAACACCACAGTCATACCAAAGCTTATTGGCTTTGAATACGGGCCATTGGCACTGCGCACAAAGCAGCAGGACGCGCGGAAGTAAGCAACACCATAGTCAAGACACTAAGACTTTCTTGTCTCCTTGTTTGCATTTTTGTTGCCTCTCCTCAATTTTGGTCTCTATTATTCAGGCGTCCTTGGCCTGTCCATCATATTAGCGCTATACTGCCGTGCTTCATCCGGTGGCTTCTCTCCATCGGCACTCTACATCTACCCTATATCCACTCACTCCGTCATATCACGAAGTCGGAATAGTGGAAGTGGATAATGTAAACATCTGCAGGTTAACTTGTAACAGATGTATCAGGTGTCTCGAGTGTGCTTAAACGCCTGCCATTCTTAGCTAAACCTCAAGATTTTGCCAGCGCATCATACCGTCTCTTGACCTTCACCATAGTCGCTTCTCACTCGGCAAGATCTTCCATAATGCCTACAAGTATGGGATAATGACCTAGCCTAGCATGGTTTACCCCAAGCTTCGCTGGCATGTCTCAGTCAATACCATCGCGAATTACAAGGATCGATTGACAAAAATCTAGAAGACTACATCTGCGAAAGATCGCGATCTCGTACCCATTGATCAACTAGTTTGTTCATCGGGGGCGATCACGATCAGCCTCGTAGATTGCGAGTGACTCTTGACGCCAGAGTTGAATCGCGATCAAGCATGCACCATCTTTTTTCCGAAGTCTCGGTAGATGGACACGAGCTCCACATCACAAACGCGCCAAGATCGCATGCAGCCCTAAATCACCCACATGCCCATGGCATCCAAAGACGTACGTCATTCTTCACCAGCTCCCATGAGTCTCTTCGCGATTTCTTCAATGTTACAAACAACAACGGCAATCTTGCGGCATTTACCGTGCTGGCATGGGCTCTAGCCTTTGGGCTATCGAGACCGGAAGCCGAGGCATTTTCATGACATACGCTATCGAAGCTCAACCAACTCTGGGGTCAGAGAGGCGGGGAAAGACATTTCGCTGGACAAACGGAACTACCCCCGGCCACGTTTCGTCCACACCGGGGCCTTTTCGTATACGAACACATGGACAACGTGGTGCTCCTAGCACCTTCAATGAACACGGACGGCCATCACGCCATTCGCAGACCCGGCGAGAAGTACTTGGATGCTGCCCAGCGAAGATGATGCCGAAAGTATCCCGAATGTCTGCTCCGAAAGGTAAGTCACGATTACCAAACACCAAGAAAAGCAAGAAGATCACCCGCCATCACCACGCAACGGTTATCACGAACCAAACAATTGCACGACGATCCTGAGATTTGAGGCAAGCATGATGCAAGCCGTTTCTCAGGAACAGCGTCCACTTGGGCCGGTACTATGCGGTATATCTACGATTCGATCATGAGGCGAGTCAACACCTTGGTACGCTACCATTAGAGCCAAACTTTGGATGCGTTCCCCGGACCCCGGATTTACGTAGCATCGGATGGCGCTCCCGGAAGCAGGATAACGCCGCTGTGTATACCATGCCTTTTATTTCTTTTCTTGCATCGTTTCATTACGGTCCCTGCATTGCTTCGAATCTGCCAGAGAGTTCGGGAGTTTGTCGTGGTCAGCTGTCTCCAATCTTGCAGCGGCTGCGTCTTCCCCGCCATCATTGCAAGCATGAGCTTGCTGCTTTCAGCTTTCACCACGCGACACATCCTTGTATAGTGCGCGCCTTGACAAACTCTTGCATGCGGTACCGCTCTTGCCCACTCTTCGGCTTACGATTATTTTCAAGAATCTGGTGACTCATTATTGCTAAAGAGTAAGGATGGACCTACTAACCAACAGTCAGCACAACTACCGACGTAGGCAGTGTCGGGAAGATTCGGGTATTTCAGGTCTTCGGCTTGATACAAGTCCGATGAAGCACATTTCAGGACCAATTTGCGTCATGCCTCGCTGCCTTGCCTCATGATCTCCTGGTTTGCAGCTCGCCGGCCCGCACGTGTCAATCCAAACTAACGAAGATACGCCGAGACGAAACCCTGGAAATCTCACAACAGCAGCAATAGTCGGCGACGGCGCCGCTCGATGATTCTATTACCCACCAATCCCCTTTCTTGTTATGACTACGACAGACTAACTGGAGCGGAACGTTGTTTAGCTTCCCCACAAACGCCGCTTACCCCGCAAGGACAATCACGACACGACGACGAGCGGTTAGCTAAACAAAATAGGAAATTGCCGCCTAAGCACTGACTGGCCTCAATCTGATGCAACCATACAGAGTTTGGAGCGGAAGGTTTTGGCACGTCAGGTGTGCTGATGAAACTTGTGGAACTGGTGGTTACACTTCCCCAGACTGGCAACCCCGGACGTCGCAGGTTGCCATTTTGACCGTGTCAGGGTACACACCAGACCTTTCGCTGCACCCTCGACGCGAGGACCCCCTTTTTCGCATCAGTTGCTTTTCATGGTTCTTCGCTGTAGTCAAGTATGCTGTCATTAATGCGCCTCACTTGCTTCAGATCTGCGATACCCCTGGGTCTGAACTTGTTACCTACATGGAATCCGCGAGTAGATGCGACGCATCATGGGGCTTTCTCCGCAGAATATGTCTATTTTCCTGGGGTTTACTTGCTCGTGCTTTTGGGGAGCGATGACGTACATACTGGATCTATGCAGGTACCCAAGCCCCAAGACCGTCGATCATCGTCATTACTTGATTTGGTAATCCGGGTCAGAGAGATCCCAGGCGAACGAAA